AATTATAAATTTCAGCAATCTTGCTCTGGGGGACACGCTCGTATGTGAAATAGGGGCCATCAAAACGTGACTTCCACAGTGAAGTGATAGCCCGAGGGATGTTTGGATCAGCAAACTGAAGCTTATCATCAGTGAGTTTAATCCATTTCCTGCTCTCTATTTTCTGGAGGGCGTATTCCCTTGAAATTCCTGCTCTGTCCTTTTTTCCCCGTCGAGGATGAAGGGCCCTCGTTCTCATGATCAGGTGGAAAATTATAATTCATTAATGGATCAATCGTTTGCTGTATATTCGGAGCTACGCTACTATCAATAAACAACTGTGGGTGATTAAAATTGTGTTGCTCTTGTGATCCTGAAGAGGAAGATCTCCTCCTTGCTGAACCTGCAGGATTTCCAGACATCCTGAAAAATGAATAACAAAATAGTTATTAATAAATTTATACAAATAATAAATAATAAATTTAGAACAATCATACAATAATTTTATTTTAAATGAAAAATATATAACTTGATAAAACAATATATGTAAGACAAAGAAATTTTAATACATATATTTAATAAGTAATAATACAGATATTTCAATTAATCATCACTATCATCGCTATCATCACCATCCTCAACATTATCACTATTTCCTGAGGATTCTGAATCTTTTTCTTCTCCATAGTCCTTCTTTTCTTCAGCTGTATTAGCATCAACCTCAACTTCTGTAACACCTTCTGCAGATAGTTGAAGTGATTGGTATGCAGTTAAATCTATAGCTAATGAAGAGCCTTGCATTATGGAGGGGTCATCATCTTGAAAAATACCATCAACCTCTCTTGAAAATGAGGTAGATGAGGTCTCAATTACATGTTTAGATTTGATTTTACATGTTGCCAACCATCCCCGGGTAGTTCTATCTGTGGCTGCTGGATATGGAATATAATAAACTTGTTGTGCTCGACTAGCAAGGCAAAATGGCTCCCCCATTGAAAGTTTAAACCTTGGATTGACATCAACAATTCCGTGTTCAACATTGACATGTATTCCTCGGTTCGTGTCATACCAATCACAATTAAACAATATTATAGTCTCTTGATGGCCTGAGTGTCCATAATACAATAACTCGATCACCTCTTTTAAGACACCATAATAATCAGTTTCATCTGCAGAATTAATGGTGGTTCTTTTAACACAAACACCACAGTTATATGTTTTTCTAGTACTAGTAAACTCTTCAGTCAAGAATTTAAAGCCGTTCACAAAGAACCCATTATAAACATTCACTTCAAAGATCGGGCCAACTGCAAGGTGGATAAGTTGTTCATTGATTTCATATTGTCCACTAAACAC